CCAGCCCTGGAAGCTGCAGGTTATCTGGGAATCAGATTTCTGGTTGTTTTTCAACCTTTCAAATAAAATGAAAAAACAAGATGGCTCAAGTGCTTGAGTCCCTGCACACACATCGGAGACCTTGGCTTCTGGCCTCAGATCGGCGTTGCAGGTATTTGGGGAGTGAAACAGCAGATACAAGATCTTTGTCTCTCCCTCTCCGTGTAACTCTGCCTTTCAAATAAATAAAAAAATAAATCTTTATAAATTTTTTATAAAAAACCTATCAAAGTCTTCCATAAGTAAACAAAGTACTCTGCCTATGCTACACACTTGATAAAAAACACACATGCTCCCAATTATTGCCCAACATCTTAATAGCAAACAGTGGCTAGTACAGAAAACAGTGGCAAAGAAAAAAGGGATTACACTAGTCAGATCTATGTAGTTTTCTATTCTGGCTGGCAACTAAAATTACTGAGTAAGGTTTGAAGTTTTCTTTATACCACTGCCCAATTCAAAGCTAGCAAACCAAACCTGTGCCAATAACTTGTCACCCAGTAAAGACAGTAGAGAAACAGTAGTAGAAATTTAAAAATTCTTTTTAATACCATAGAGTTGCCTAAGTCTTTTATACTAAATAACGTCTAAATTTAAAGAAGGTATTATTCCGTGGCTGCCGCCTTCAGTGCCAGCATCCCATATGGGTGCTGGTTTGAGGCTCGGCTGCTCCACTTCTGATACAGCTCTCTGCTATGGCCTGGGAAAGCAGTAGAAGGAAGACCTCTCTCTGTGTGTAATAATAAATAAATCTTTAGAAAAAAGTTATTGTTCTTACAAAGTAGTCAACTTGGTTAGGGCTCTTATATCAAAATATCAGTACTATTATTAGTGCTTGATAGCCTTCAGCTCAATATGATCCAATCTATCAATTTGTTTAAATTAGTACTTTTGACCAAAGACAACTGACATCAATTGATCTTACTGCCATGGATTGTTACAAATACTTTAAACTGCTTCAGATTCAAAGGTTTACCTCAATATGTCAGGATTCAGGAGCAGGTGTTTGGTGCAGCAGTTTAGTCGCTGCTCAGGATATCCGTGTTCCATATTGAGGTACCTAGCTACTCTGCTTCTGATCCAGTTTCCTGCTGATGTGCATCTAGGGAAGGGTCTTTGCCACCCATGTGGGAGACTATGGTTGAGTTCTTGGTGTTTGACATCCACTGAACCCAGTTCTGGCTGTTAAGTGCAAGTGGGGAGTAAACTAGCAGATGAAGATACTTTTCTCACCCTTTGTCACCCTGCCTTTCAAATAACTAATTAAACTTTTGGGAAAAATTATGTATTGGCAAGGATATAGATTAACTAGAACACTTTTGCATTGTTGGAGGCACAATTTAAAAATGCTAAACAGCTACTGAGAAAAATACTGTGGTAATTCCTCAAAATCTAAGAACTTCCAGAAAGAGAATTGAAAGCATGGTCCTAAAAAGGTTAACCCATGTTCATAGCAGTGTTATTCATAACAGGTAAAATGTGGAAGCAATTCAAGGATTCCACATACATGAATGGATAAACATTATACACACACACACTGAACTATTATTTTGGCCTTTACAAAGAATGATGTTCTGTCATGTTACAACAGAAATGAACCTCAAGAACATCATGCTTAAGTTAAATACGCTAGTTCCCAAATGAGAAACACTATAGGCTTCCACTTATGAGCTACTTATAATCAAAACAGACAAAGTAAAATAATGGCTGCCAAGGCCTGGGAAGAAGGAATGGAGTTACCGTTTAATGGGCATAACCTTCGTTTACATGTATTTTTTTTAGACTTATTTATCTGAAAGTCAGTTTCAGGACTGGTCTTCCTCTTATGAGTCACTCCCCAAATGGCTGTAAAGACCAGGGTTGGGCCAGGCTGAAGCCAGGAGTCACTTCCAGGTCTCCCATGTGGGTACAGGGGCCCAAGGATTTGAGCCATTTTGCGTTGCTTTCTCGGACGCATCAGAAGGGAGCTGGATGAAGTAGAGCAGTCAACACTGGAATGGGAGCCCATAAGGCACTGCAATGGTGCCTTAACCTTCTGCGGCACAGTGCTGGCCTGCTTATATAGGTATATATTTTTAAAATTTATTTATTTAACTTGAAAGTCAGAGTTACACAGGAAGAAGAGAGGCAGAGAGAGAGAGGACTTCCATCTGCTGGTTCACTCCAATTGGCTGCAACGGCCACAGCTGTGCTGATCCGAAGCCAGGAGCCAGGAGCTTCTTCCAGGTCTCCCACACAAGTGCAGGGGCCCAAGCACTTGGGCAATCTACTGCTTTCCCAAGCCATAGCAGAGAGCTGGATCAGAAGTGGAGCAGCCAGGACTCGAACCAGCACCTATATAGGATGCTGGCACTGCAGGCGGTGGCTTTACCTTTTTTAGCACTGGCCTCTAAAACATTTTTGAGATGGATGGTTGTGATAGTTATAAGCCGTTACTTAAGACCAGTGAACTACACACATAAATGGTTAATATTATAGGGTCCCTTGCCACCCCTGTGGGAGACCAGGATGGAGTTCTTGCTCTTGGCATTAGCCTCGCTCAGACCTGGCTGTTGCAGTCATTTGGGGACTGAACCAGCAGATGGAATATTTGTTTTTCCCTCTCTGTTGCTCTGCCTTAAAAAACAAAACCTAACACAAAAATTATTTATTTATTTGAAAGTGTTAAAGAGATAGGGGGAAATCTTTTTTTTTTAAAAAATGCACCACTCCAGGACCAGCATTATTGTGTAATAGGTAAAGCTGACGCCTGTGACATCGACATCCCATAAGGGTACAGGTTCAAGTTCCGGCTGCTCTACTTTTGCTCCAGTTCTCTTAATAGCCTGGGAAAAGCAGAGATGGCCCAAGTGCTTGGGCTCCTGCAACCACATGGGAGACCCAGATGAAGTGCCCGACTTCAGACTGGCCTGGCCCAGCTCTAGTCATTGCAGCCTCTTGGGAGTGAATCAGCAGGCAGTTCTCTCTAAATAACCTAAAGAAATGCTCTTAGGGGCCGGTGCCGTGGTGTAGCGGTCATGGTTGTTCCACTTGTGATTCAGCCTGGAAAAAGAGTTACACAGGGAGAGGAGAGGCACAGAGAGAGAGAGAGAGAGAGAGAGGTCTGTGCCTGGGAAAACAGCACAGGATGGCCCAAGTGCTTGGGCCCCTGTATCCACGAGGAAGACCTGGAAGAAGCTCCTGGCTCCTGGTTTCAGTCTTGCACAGCTTTGGCTGTCACAGCCATATGGTGAGTGAGCCCTCTCTTTAATTCTGCCTTTCAAATAAATAAATAAATCTTTAAAAAAAAATAAAAAGTTATTCAGATGATCAAAAGGTTAACTTAAAACCAATTCAAGTAAAGGGAAAACTAACGAACCAATTGATCACTAATGGACCAATCAACACTTGGCAGCAATTCAAAGAACTTGCCACTCTGGAACCCAAACTGAACATTATCTGTTGTTCCAGGGGAAAAACAATCAATATCAACCTGATTCATTTTAATACACAAACTTACTAAAGAAAATCTTTTCAGTAATACCAGCAAAACTAAACACATTTGCATCTATATGGCACATTTAGTTTATCTGAATCACTGATTTTAGTTAGCCCATATATAGGGAATGCACACAGAATAACTGGAATACAAACTAATGCTCTCATTTAAAAAGGCCTACAATTACACATAATAAAAAAGAGAATCATACATAAAACAACTAATCAACTACCTAGTAGAACAGATCCCACAAATTTTGAGGTAGCAGAATATAACACAACCAAATATCTTCTCAGGCCTACACAATGACCACCACTAGACACTTTGGTAAACATTTTCCAATAACATTATTTGAAGGGCAGATGGCACAGAAAATGACACCCTACCCTCCCAGTAGAATTTAATTTAAATAGAACTAAGTATTTCTTTTTTGCCCTTACAGCCCTAAAAAAATAAATCCAGTTCCAGGGTAAACCTCATGGTTAGTTCCCAAGAGCAGAACTAGAGAACAAGTGAAGGCAGGTGAATTTTACCTGCCAGAATTCTTGTCCCTTAACGTCCATAAGGCAATTCTACTGCTTTCCACTTTTTAAGGAAAAGATCAATTTAGTTCATTGTACCAAATAAATGTTTTTGTTCACAGAGAAGGAAAGGTATGTAAGATTAAGAAATTTGCTCAAGTCACATAAAAAGCTTTGTTATTCATCTCTGATGCAATGATTTCTTCCAGGGAAAATATGGTAATTACCTCATACCCACAATCTGATATGCATATTCTTCCCAGCAGTTCCAAATCATGCCTAAACGGCCATGTTAAAAATGGGAATGTGCAGTATCTATTAATTGTGTCCATGCAGACATGGGTATGGGAACAAAGGTGGAAAAGGTATGAAGATTAAAAACCACTGTCCTAAAAAGCAAAAAGTTTATAAATATCATTTGTTACACCTCACTATTTGCATTAAGGATTTAACTTATTTTCTGGTTACTATTCAGCACACATTATTCCTTCTTATAAAAGATGTAAAGTTTGATACTCCATCTTTTTTGGACCCTTCTTCAAAAATACTGCTCTTATTCATTTTAGGCAAATTAAAAATATTAAATGACTTTGGAATTAAGCATATAATACAAAAAATAAGAGACAGGGAACATATACCCAAAGAAAAAAATTTTTGAAGAACTCATGAGATAATATAATGTCACCCTTCTGGGCAGGCACTGCCTACCTCTCTTTAATTTATACTTGTCCATATAAGATAATGTTTTTAAGTAGGAAAAAACGAACATTCATTCTTTCTCAAGTTTAACCATACTATTTCCAAAGACCCTGAATTAAAGAGTTTGATATTGGGTTCTTATCCACATTGTCATTCTCAATTAACCTTTGCAAAGCAGCTCATAGTTTTCAAAATTTACTCTTAATACAAATAAAAATAAATTAGACAGTAAGAATCTTTGTATAAGAAACAAATGAAGTTACCTTTAGTGTGATATACAATAGCAGCCCTCAGGTCAAAAGAACCCCAGCTATCATTCCTTTCTAGGCCTCTCTGGTATCTCTGTTCTTTGGCGGAGCCCAACAAAGTGTTCGTAGGAGAGGCCAGAGGATTTTGATTTTCTATCTCGTAGTCCTTTGAGAGAAACACTAAAGCACCTTGACTACTGGTGTCTGCTTTTTGCAGGTCACCTATATGACTGGGTTCCAAGGATAAGGCTCCACTCTCATTAGTAGTCCCAGATTTTAGAATGTTACTCAGAACTTGAGGACTAGTCCGTTTCTCCAGCTCATAAGCCTTGGGAAACACAGGATGCTCAGTTCCTGAGGGGATTATTTCAGCACCCTGTGAAACCAAAGTGGCAGGATATTCTCCTTGAAATGTCACCTCCACCACTTTATGATCTGATGACTTCCCAATAACAGTCTCAGGGCCAGCACTGGGCTCATTTATAAATGATAAACCCCACTGATTCTGGAAGATATCCCCCAGGTTTTGCTGATCGGTCTGAGAGGGCAGATCCACTTGTGCTGTGCTTAAAAGCACAGTTTGCATATTTGAAGGATAAATAAAAAGGCTAGACTTTATTTGTTCAACAGCTGCTGAAGTTAGACTCACGTCCTGGAGAACTGAATCAGTCCCAGAAGAGATGGGTGTTAAAGTATTAGCAGCAGTAGTTAGCAGTGGCTGACCCCCTGGAGGATACACATTTGCATCAGTCCCCGCTAAGACAGGCCCGTTAGAAAAGCTGGCAGAAGTAACAGATTTCAGTGCTGACATAGGAACCTGGGATAACCGACTTGAAGATTGTGTCTGAGTTTCTCCAGTAGATGATGAAGAGGATGAGGATGAAGATGGTGACACAGAGTTCTGTATAGTTTTGTTGAGGTTTTCCTTAACTTTGCTTGCATAACTTATTTTAGGAACGATTTTAGCACTGCTATTGTCCACTGGAAAAACTGGGGGTGGTTTAAATAGGGTCCACGAGTCCTCTTTGGAGGCAACAGCCGAGGCATGCTTTCCTTTGGGCCGATCATCAAACTTTTTGCTGCTCACACCAGGTTTTATATCTGAGCTTTTCCGAAGCACATCACCCACGGCAGGTTTTCCTCGACTTGTTCCTCCAGGCCCAGGTTCATATTTCCAAACAGGCTTGGAACCATCTACTCGGTTTCCCTTTTGTTCACTATAGTCAGGCTTGAAAGTTTCAAGTCCCTGTTTTAAGGTTGGGACACTGGTCTCTTGTTGCATTATTTTTTCCTGCACTAAATTAAGGTTTTCACAACCCTTGGCACTATTGCGCCTAGCTTTTCTTTTCTTAGGAGTGGTATATCCGCTCTCTGATCCACTACCATCATTATCTGCTCCTTTGCCCATATAACCATTAGCAATATAGCCTGAATTATTTGTTACAACACCATTTGGAATTGCTACAGTATCACTTTTATCTACAGACTGGTTCTCTCCAGATTTGTTTTCATAAGACTTCCCATTCTTTTTGTCCATACTGTTTTTCTGAATGAAATTCTTGGTTTTAATTCCTGCTTTCCCAAAGGTGCTGGCCTTTACAGTCTGCTTCAGGCTAGGGTCTACAACTTGCTGGTTGCCATTGAGGACCCTGGAAATAGGGTTGGTAGCTTCATCAGAACCCAGACTCTTTAAAGATATTTCTCTTTCTCCAGCATTACCATTTAGTTCACCATAGCCTAGAGAAGGGAAAAAAAATTTTTTTTTAAAAATCACAACACATAAATACATTATTATGTAACATTTAAGGACTTTTATTTGCTGTATGTTAGATACTATATATGAGCTATAGTTTTATTATTTCACATCTCTTTTTTTTTTTTTTTATTTTATTTTATTTTATTTTTTTTTTAGTTTTTGACAGGCAGAGTGGACAGTGAGAGAGAGAGAGACAGAGAGAGAAAGGTCTTCCTTTGCCGTTGGTTCACCCTCCAATGGCCGCCGCTGCAGCCGGCGCACCGCGCTGATCCTGGCAGGAGCCAGGAGCCAGGTGCTTTTCCTAGTCTCCCATGGGGTGCAGGGCCCAAGCACCTGGGCCATCCTCCACTGCACTCCCTGGCCATAGCAGAGAGCTGGCCTGGAAGAGGGGCAACCGGGACAGAATCCGGCGCCCCGACCGGGACTAGAACCCGGTGTGCCGGCGCCGCAAGGTGGAGGATTAGCCTATTGAGCCACGGCGCCGGCCTATTATTTCACATCTCTGTAAGACCCTTGTTAGTCCTATTTTACAAGACTGCAAAATGGAATCTACTGTTAAGAGGCAGAAACTGTACCTTGATTCAAACCATAGAAAACATGATTTCTCATCTGACATAATCAATCTACCCATTATAAAAATTTCTTTACAATTAAGGACAGAGCTACCCTCTGGGCAAAAATCATGTTTTACTGATACAGTACTTATTACAAGGAAATGTTCTAATGTAATTTGACTTCAGATCATGCTTTAACACATGGAACTATAACACCTATGTAAAAGTGCTTGTAATTCTTAAGACATATTTTCTTCATTTTATCATTAGATGAATAGATTCTCATAGAGATGAAGTAACTTTTCCAGATCACAAAGTGGCACAACTGGAAATCTGAACTCTAGCCTGCCTGGAATACATGGTTTTACCACCATGCAATACTGTCTATTCTAGAGATCAGTGAAAAACTACTGTGGAAGCCATCTAATTGCAAACAAAACTACATAAGAGGATATATAATACCACAAGTGTTAGGATATTCAGATTTCATTAAAGACCTTCAACCACCATAAACAGTTAACTCTATTAACTATAGATGATTTAATTGGGCAATCTTACACTCCCTTATTAGTAAAATGGTGTTATTTACCTTTCTACAAAATGTTTACAAAAGCATCCTGAAATCAAACCATTAGAAATAGATATACAATACAAGGATACACACACATTCATTTAAAAACAGCTCTTTTGGGGAGTATGAGTTCAACAGAAACACTTTTAGCTTTATCATTCCATTCTGTTTTTTTTCTTCCCCTAATTATTTTAAGACCTTTGGCCTGTGAAGGCTAAAAGGCACATGAGTGTGTGTATTTTTTTAAAAACTTTGTTTTATTTGGAGATATAGGGGGATACTGGATTTTTTTAAAAAAAAGTTTGAGAACCGTTGCTCTAAAATAACTAGGTGTGGAGTAGAACACAATCTAGGATGAGTCACAGACTGGACTAAAATTTTAAGTCACTCATTCTACATCAGGGAAAAAGTTGGTATTAAAGGGCAAATAAAGGTATTTTGCTGCTCACACCAGGTTTTATATCTGAGCTTTTCCGAAGCATATCACTGCGTGACTTCTAGAAAATAACTGTAGAAAACATACTCAAGTGAGAAGGGGAGAAAGGGAGGGAAGGGAAAAGGGAACATCATTATATTCTTAGGATTGTACCTATGAACTATACTGAACCTGTTAAAAAAGTAAAAAGTAAAACACTCAAGGCATAATCATAAGCAGAAAGGCAAAAAACTTGTTATCATTTTGAAAAAGTTCTTAACTTATATAGGATTAATTTTTATTTTCTGGCTGCTGTGAAGGCTGAGAGACAATCAAATCCAGTTTTTCACAGAAAAATTCTATTAAACAAGAAAGAGACCACTTGCTTAAGTTGTCTCTTAAAGGTTCTTTTTCCTTTACAAAAGTATAGTTTCTCAACAGAGGCTCTCAACATTCTTAACAGACACAACTCACCCCTGGGCATTTTTGTATTAAAAACAAGATCTATACCATTTAACATGCTTAACAAACATTTGTACCTTGAGCCTATTAGTCATAACTTCCGATGTCAAAGGTAAGCTATCTTAAATACCAAAAAAATTCCAATGTCCAAACTAAGCTTAACCAATGCACAGATCTTAAAGTAAAATAAATTTTCTTAAGATTATTAATACTAGAAACCACCAAATAAAGAAAAAATGGCTCAGAAACCACTATACTCCCACCCTCAAACTTGGATGATAAGAAACATTCCTCAATTTACATGAAAATTTTCCTATGGCTATCTTGTTGGTATGCAAAAAAATACGTGGGAAACGCTTTTCCTTTTAAAGCTTAGCTATTTGAGAAAAACAAGCATTATAGAATTACTAAAATAAATAACTCCTAGTGTTTTTCTTTCGTAGGACTGCTAAGGTAACTCTCCTTCAAATGAACTCAGCAAAACTCGAGTCCTGATAAATCTAGCATTTGAATTAGAAACTGAAATTACTCAACACATTTGATCTTCCTGTGCGCCCTCTTCTGGATAAAGAGAAACGGTTACTCTTTATAGGTATGCGGGTAATGGGTCATAAAAGCCCACTTTTAATATACTACAGATGCATTTCAAAAATATTGTTTTCTTAGTTATTAGCACTACACACAACAAAGCAACAGTACTGTAACCAGGCCACACATGAAAAATTGCTCACCCAACTGCTTACATTCTCTCAAAATTGCTAAACCTAGTGTCCACTCTTTTTTTTCCTCCCTTTCAGGGTAAGACATATTTTGAGGGATGCCACCTTGAATGGTTCAGGAGCTCTTCTATATGTAGCGAGGAGTCCTGCATAAGTCTATTAATCTGATAAAACACAATTTTTCAATCGTAACAGTCTTATATGCCACACAATCATAATGTGGTAATACTTTCAATTATTCTACTGCCCACCACGGTCCCTACAACCCCCAAAGAATAATGTAAAACCTGACATTCAATTTCAGTCTTCTGTTTGCAACAGAAAAAAGCAGTTAAGTTTTTCTCCATCTCCCAGTAACTGCTTAAATCAAATTTGACATGCTGAATTTCACATCCATTACTATTCTGATTTCTCTTCAATCAAGAACCCTTATCTTTTCAAAACTGCTCATTTCTTTTCAATATTTTCTAATATGACTTTCAATTTAACGTTTAAAAAAACCTGAAACTCAGGTGATCAATATCGCTGTTGAAATGCGAAAAACCTTTTCTTTTAACATGGGGAAAAAAGCCTTATCCGAGACAAGATGGGAGGGATCCAACCTCAAGGATGAGCCACTTCGGTTTACCCTTAAGGACGAGGAAGAGGGGCGGTCAAAAACTCACCGTCTTGCCCGACCGATCATTTTTTTTTTTTAAATCCTCCCCTTCAAAGACATTACCCCAACCCCAGAAGAGTAAGTGCTGACTGAGGAAGAGGACAGAAGGTTGTTGGAGGGGCGGTTTTCCGTGGTAGAAAATGAACTGCTAGAAGCAAAGGGCCCAAGCGAAAACCTCAGAGGCGGAGTCATGGGCGAACCTGGCAGGAGACGAGGTTCCTGTGGCAGAGAAACTCGTGACCGGGGAGCCGGGTTCCCGCTGGGTACCCCACCCGGCCTCAGGCACCGCCTCTACCCAAAACGAATCCCCCGGCCCAGCCCTCCGGCCCCGCGGATCGCCGCGCCCGCCGCCCGCGGCCTCCTTCCCCCTCAGCTCCGCTTCGAGGCTGCTTCCCCGCCCTGGCCGCCCGCGCCGCCCGCCGCACCCGGGAGCGGGAAACGCGGCCGCCGGCGCGCGGGGCCCGGCGCAGGCCGCTCCCCTCGTGGCTGCTTCCCTCCCCCACCCCAACCGCCCCCGCCCCTCACCCCAGGGACCCGCCCGGGGCCGCGCGGCCGCCACCGGGTTACACAACCCGGGCCGGGGACGGGGGGAGGGGCGGCGCGGGGCGGGGGGGCTGCGGCGCCCCCGCAAGGCGGGGGGCGAGGCGACGGCCAGCGGGGGTCCCGGGTCACCCAGCTACGCTGCGCCAAGTGCCCCCTGACACCCTTCCCCCTCGGCTCCTCCGTGGGCCGGAGTCGGTGACAGGAATCGGCTTCCAACATGGCGGACAGGAAGCGGCCCCGCGAGGAGGAGAGAACATTCCAGCCGCGCCGGCTCTGGGGGGAGCGGGCCCGGGGCGCCGGCCTCTGGAGGAGCTGTAGGGGCACACTGCGGGGTCTGGCGCCCCGAAAGGGCGTTTAGGGGTGGAAATAACCCGGGAGATGAGGGGTCCCAGCCGCCCCCCCAGACAGGGAACCCCAAGGCCACAGGTGGGCTTGGGGTGGCGGGTGAGGGAGGACACTTCCTCAACTCAGCCCACCTACCCTTTCCCCGCTGCCTGCGGAAGGGTCTCGCGACACCACCCCAGTCAGGATTCGCTAGGCCTTCGTGAGTTACACCTCGAGGGATTTTGGGGTGGGGGGGTGGGGAAGGGGAGGTTCACCCCATTCCGGGGTCCCCATATTAAGGTAACTCTAGGGCCGCAAGGAGGTGAACGGCAAAGGAATAATCAGGCTGGACTTCAAGGCCGACCCTGCGGGTCTCCCTCCCGCCGGGGCGGGGGCCGGGAAGGTCACGCTGGCCTGGTTGGGCCTCTCCCATGCTGAAGCGAAAGAGAGCGCGCTGCAAGCCCTACGGCTCACCCCGAGCTCTGGGAGAATGAGAGGGGGGCACTCCAGGCCCGGAGGGCACGGACACACACACACACCCCGACCCCGTCCGCGCTTTTCTGAGCTAGCCCCACCCCCATCTCCTCGTCCCCCACCCCCAACCCCTTCCCCCACCCGTCCTCCCTCCCAGACCTGTTTTCTTCTTCGGCGTTTCCTGGTGCTGCTGGAGGGTGTGTTTCTGCTCATGTTTCAGCGGCTTTGGCTGGGCCTTGGGGCTGCCCTCGGCTCCATGCTGCAGGTATTGGTGAGGCTGCTGGTGGTGATGGTGGTGGTGGTGGTTGTGGCTGTGGTTGTAGAAATAATAATGGTGGTGGTGGTGCGATTGCTGCTGCTGCTGCTGCTGCTGGGGGTGATGATGCGGGTGGTGGTGGCTGTGATGGTGTTGAGGCTGTGGCTGGCCGGGCTTCTCCTCCATTGAAAGCGGCTGGGACTCCCTAGCTGAGGCTGCGGGCTGCTGCACCGTCAGGATCTGAGACTGCTTCTGAGGGCTCACTCAGTATATCTGAGCGCGTCTCGCCAGCGCACTGGTTGACCGAGCGATTCTGCGAGATTGGCAGCTGCGCTCCAGCAATCAGGAGCTACGCTGTGCCGCAGGCCCCGCCCCTAGCCCAAATCCTCTTTCCTTCCTTTTCGCCACTGCCTCTTGGCCAACGCCACTTACCCTGTGCAACCTCACAGGGCCGGGCCTTCAACGTCAGCACTATGGCTCTCGCTTCTGTCGCTTTCTCTCCTTTACCACGCATTCTGCGAACAGCACTTTCTACACTCCTTGCCGGCAAGCAAGCTCATGTCGAGTGTAGCAGATTCCACTGGCGATTCCACTAGCGCCGGGAGCCATCTGTTGGTTTTGCATCTCTAGAATCTGTTGGCTTTTTTAAAAATTCTTTTCCGGGTACCCAGAGGGGAAGCACAATTCCCTTAACCCTGAGACCACTAAAAGGGGCAATACAAAAAGAGGAAATAAATACATTTTTAAGAATACAAGAGCTTCACAATCCAGTAGATCATTTTGTATTCTGGATTCATTTTGCTTTGTATTCATATGCTAATCTCTTCCTTTCCACGAAGGGATTATAGTGTTCCACAATGGGGTATCTGTGTAATTTTCTAAAAGGGCACAAAGGGTTTAAATCATTGTTTCTTTGTAGTTGGAGGCAAGGGAGAGCAGGAGGAATGAAAATCTACACTGAACATTTTTTTTTTAAATTAAACGCTGTAGGTGAGGTAAATTGTAGAACCAAAATGGGTTTCAGAATGTTAAGAGTTTCAAGAGCAAAGGTGTAGAAGGAAGAGTATTTTAAAAGTTAAGTTTTCTTTTTGCATTTATTGAAAATATAAGAATTTAAAGAAATATTCTCACATTTTTGTAGTGTTGATTTAATTTATCCTGCATTAACACTCACAGTCTTTTTTTTTTTTAAGATTTATTTATTTATTTGAAAGTCAGAGTTACAGAGAGGCAGAGGGAGAGAAGAGAGAGAGAGAGAAGTCATCTATCCACTGGTTCACTTCCCAGACAGCCACAATGGACGGAGCTGCACAGATCTGGAGCCAGGAGCTTCTTCCCGGTTTCCCACATGGATGCAGGGGCCCAAGGTCTTGGACCATCTTCTACTGCATTCCCATGCCATAGCAGAGAGCTGGATTGGAAGTGGAGCAGCCGGGACTTGAACCGGTATCCATATGGGATGAGCTACCGCTACGCAGCAACACCGGCCCCCACAGTCTGATTTTTTAAAAACAAATGTTAGAATCATGATCCCACGTGGGTGCCGGTTTGAGACCTGGCTGCTCCAATTCTGATCCAGCTCTCAGCTGTGGCCTAGGAAAGCAGTAGAAGATGGCCCAAGTCCTTGGGCCCCTTCCTCGTGTGGGAGACCCAGAGGAAGCTCCTGGCTCCTGGCTTTGGATCAGCGCAGCTCTGGCCATTGCAGCCAATTTGGGAGTGAACCAGTGGATGGAAGACCTCTCTCTCTCTCTCTCTCTCTCTCTGTCCCTCCTCTCTCTGTGTAACTCTGACTTTCACATAATTAAATAAATCTTAAAAAAAAAAAAAAAGAATGATAGTGGTTACTTGGGAATGAAGAAGAGAGTTGTGATGGGGAGGGACACAGGAGTACCCTCTAATTATATATCATGTCTTGAGTTAAATGGTGATTACACATATATCTGCTTTATAATTATTTCTTGAACTGAATATACATAATACACTTTTATAAGTTACATTGAGTTTTTAAATTGTGGCAAAATATACATTTACACTAAAATTTACCATCTTAACCATTTTTTTTTTTTGACAGGCAGTGGACAGTGAGAGAGACAGAGAGAAAGGTCATCCTTTTCCATTGGTTCACCCTCCAGTGGCCGCTGCCGCTGGTGCACTGCGGCCGGCGCACCGCGCTGATCCAAAACCAGGAGCCAGGTGCCTCTCCTGTTCTCCCATGCGGGTGCAGGGCCCAAAGACCTGGGCCATCCTCCACTGCCCTCCAGGGCCACAGCAGAGAGCTGGCCTGGAAGAGGAGCAACCGGGACAGAATCCGGCGCCCCCACTAGGACTAGAACCTGGAGTACTGGTGCTGCAGGCGGAGGATTAGCTTATTGAGCCGTGGCGCCGGCCCATCTTAACCATTTTTAAGTGTACAGTTCAGCAATATTAATTAGATTCCCATTGTTGTACAACCATTATTACTATACCTCTCCAGAACTTTTCATCATCCCAGTCTGAAACTGTATGTTCATTAAACAATTACACCTCTCTCTTCCTTCTCTCCACCCCTTAGAAGCCTATAATTTAACTATTCTATCTCACATAGGTGGAATCCTACAGTATTTGCCTTTTGTGACTGGCTTATTTTACTTAGTTTGACATTTTTAAGGTTCATTCATGTTGAACCTGTATCAGAATTTCCTTCCTCTTTAAGGGTGAATAATATTCTATGGTATGTGTACTACATTTTGTTTACCCATTCATTCAATATGGATTATACATTGTTTCCTCAATATATGTTATATTTTACAATGTTTAAAATGTGACTTTAATTTACACTGCAGAACATAAAAGGAACAGAGGAGCTTACAAGCAAAAAGTTTGTGCTTTGGAATTAATGAATGTCAGCACAAAGGTATCTTTGAAAGGTAAAAACCTTATTCTAACTGCAAATGTCACTGAATCCAGAAAACCATGACCAGAACTTGACATGCTCTAAGGATTTGAATTTTGCATTGCTAAACTTTATTTATTTTTTTAGATTTTTTATTTATTTGAGAGGTAAAGTTACAGACAGTAAGAAAGATAGAAAGGTCTTCTTTCCATTGGTTCACTCCCCAGATGGCCGCAACGGCCGGAGCTGTGCCGATCTGAAGCCAGGAACCAGATACTTCTTCCCAGTCTCTCATGCCAGTGCAGAGGCCCAAGCACTTAGGCCATCTTCTGCTTTCCCAGGCCATAGCAGAGAGCTGGCTTGGAAGAGGGGCAGCTGGGACTAGAACTGGTGCTCATGTGGGATGACTGCGCCACAGGCGGAGGATTAACCTACTGTGCCGTGGCACCGGCCCCAGTATTGCTAAATTTTAAAGAAAGATCCCTTTGGGGGTACATTTACCTGATTTTGAGAGCTAAA